ATTAATCAAGGCCTCAATCCGGAGGTATTTTCTGGTTTATTCTCAATTTCTTAATACGGATTCGAACGACACTAGCTTGATTTTCTTTTTCTTTTTCTTTTAGAAGGAAAATAAGATCTATACTATGGGTTTTAAGTATTTTTTTTTATATGCCATTTTGATTTTCTCCCATCAAAGGATTCTTAGAAATCGGGTTTTTATTTCTTTTGTCCAAATAATTGTGAGTTAATATTTAAACTAATTAGCAAAGAACATCTTGAGGAGGATTTTATTCCTTTCATCCTACCAAAATTTATAATTTCAAGAATAAATAATTTAACCATGCTAAAATCAATACAATTATTTAGGACTATGACTTTTAGTTAGAAATTGATGTTGTTCTAGTGAGTTTAATTATGCTCTATACGAATACAACTAAGAAAACTACTCTCTACTAAAATAATGAGTAAAAATATAGAGTGTTGACGGTGGATTTTGGAGAGGTCAACGTATCCCCCAGATGAATGTATTTGTCGAGAAGCAAATGAGTCTGCAACCAAAAAATTCAACGTTAGTGGTGTCCCACCTAATACATTCTAACGCTAAAGTCAGTAATCGGCACAAGAAAATAAGAATAGACACCTTAAGATTTAAGTGACAGATCTTTTACTTACATGGTGTTGGTGGGAGTCCTTCACATTTATAAGTGTGGTTGGCCGATCAGGAAGGACGACGGTTGAGGAGGTAGAGGTACACGAGACTATACGAGGTCCTGAAGTGACGTACGCTCCCGACAATCAGTAGGAGATGTCTTCACCTTCAGGTGTGTTAACTTGCAGTTTGCAGGTTTTAGGTCGCAGTCCTCGACGTGTCACCTGTACAGCGACGGTGGCGTCGCCCACGAATGCTTGCACCGAATACCGTTTGTGATCCTATGCCTCACTGTTGTTTTCGAAATTCGACGTGTGTCATGCTCGACTTCTTCCTCGACATAAAGAAAATTTACCAATAGCACGAGTCATGTGTGTCACATTAAGTGTATAAGGGGTAAGAAATTAAGGTTACAAAACAAAACCCAAAGGAATATGGCCATGAACATGAAAAGTCAATCATGGAAAAGGAAAACAACTTTATTTGATATAAACACACAAAAGAAAACGACCTTTTGAAATCTGGGGACACACCCAATTCCCAATTCCCAAGTACCAAGCTCAATTTTGCTTCTTTAAATACACAAACTCCTCACCCACTTCCTCCATCTCTCAATTCTCTCTCTATCTTCAGACATAATGAACATGGCCCTTCTCTTCCTCTTCCTCATCATCTTCACTTCCTCTCTGTTCTCTCCTACTCTGTCTCGCACCTTACTGGGTCCTTCCCATACCCACACGCACACGCACACGACCGCCATTTTCGATGTCTCTGCTTCCTCAAAGCGAGCCCAAAACGCCCTTTCCATTC